TACACTAGTTTCTTGTTCTAACATAAAAAGTTGGTTATTTTATTTGATTCTCGAGCACGAGCTCGACTTCGTTAACATGAAAATTCGAGCCCAACGAGCCCAACGAGCCGAGCTCGAGCCATATTAAAAATTCACGAGCCGAACTCGATCCTACAATATTATGCTCGTTCGAGCTCGAGCCGAGCTCGAGCCCATAAAATTATATTCGAGCTCGAGTTCGAGCATACCCCAGATCGGGCTCGGCTCGGCTCGTTTACACCCCTAGTTCATGTGGCCATTCATTTGACCAAGTCTGGTATTATTATTATTTGGCTAAAGGGTCAAATAGGTACATGAACTAACCTAAAGTGTTCAATTAGCCCCTTATATAGGAGTTTCTGCCCGGACGTCGCCAATTGGGGCGGTTCCCGGTGGAATTTTTTGATGAATTTTTTTGAACATCTTCTTCATTAAGTCTAGTGTACCCAGACCAAATTTCAGCTAAAAATTCAATCGGGAAGGCAGTCGAATGATTTTATGAAAAATTAAACAGCGCAGTACATTTCGGAAAATAATTCGACCGCCTTCCCGGTTGAATTTTTAGCTGAAATTTGGTATGAGTAAACTAGACTTAATGAAGAAGATGCTCAAAAAATTTCATCAAAAAATTCCACCGGGAACCGCCCCAATTGGCGACGTCCGGGCAGAAACTCCTTTATAAGGGGTTAATTGAACACTTTAAGTTAGTTCATGTACCTAATTGACCCTTTAGCCTTATTATTTCGGTTACAATTATACCCCGGCCCGTGCGTATATATTATAGTGGGGATCGGATCATAAACTTTTATCACTCCATCTCTTCCTTCCTGTGAAGGATCGATTGACAACACCGAAGCAGCAGCAGCAACTGATGATGATGAATCGCGCCAAATCTAACCTGCAGTTTCATCATCAACCCGCTTGGCAAACAATAATGCCGCGGCGGCCTTATTTCCCCCCGGAAATCGTAGCTGAGGTGTTGCAATGGCTGCCCGTCAAATCCATCTTAAAATTCAGGTGCGTTTCGAAATTGTGGCTCTCCCTCATCTCCAGCGACCATTTCATCCAATCCCGACCGAAAAAGCCCAGAGTTTTAACAAAATTCATGACCAGATTCTCATTACAGTTCATGGACTGTTGTTGTTTGGAGTCTGCGCTGTGTAGCCGAACTTGTGGTGAGATGCCCATCCCCTTCCCCGTGGAAGCGGATTGCGAAAGGATTTCCATTGTGGATTCGTGTAATGGGCTGCTTTGTCTCGCTACTGACCAGCATGTCATCTTGTGGAACCCTGCTATTAGAGAATCCAAAATGGTACCCCATGTGGCCGCCGCAGAGGTGGAACCAAGGCCATACTATCATGAAATTGGGTTTGGTTTTGGCGAATCTTGCGGTGATTATAAGGTAGTGAAGCTCATTGAAGGCCGTGAGGATCAACCTGAATTGCTCCGGAGAATAGTAGTAAGTGTTTACAGTCTCAAGACTGACTCTTGGAAGACTATAGAGAATATCGAGGGCAAATTGAAGTCTCCTCAAGGGAAATTTGTGGATGGGAAGCTTTATTGGCCGATGGTATATACTTGTGGGCATAGAGAATGGAAGCAATATTCAGGGAAGGCAGTGGTGGGTGTTCTTTGTCTTGATGTGAAGACAGAGACATATGAAGAAATTGAGCCGCTTTCACCGAAACCTGATGCTCCCAAAAGCCTGACGGTGGCTGTGCTTGACGGGCGCCTGTGTCTGCTTTCTAATTCTTCTAACAATGAAAAAACCTTCTGGGTTCTGATGAAGAACAAGCAGCAGCAATCACAAAGTTGGTCTAAAATGTTTAGAATTTTCGCGGGGGGTCGTGGGATGGGGCAAACAACACCGTTATACAAGCTCAGTAAGAGTGAGTTGCTGCTCCATTGTTATGACAGCGTGATGATCTACAATGCTAAAGACAAGAGTTTTAGGTACACTGGACTAAGCAAGTGCTCTTCTGCTCATGTTTATTTTGAAAGCATGATTTCTCCTGCCAAGTATCATCAGCGCAGCTAGCTAGCTGTTCATAAATAACAAAGAAATCAAGGTGACTTGTATTAGTTGTAGATAGGAGCATACATCTATGGATGACATTGCGCTCATGTGGATGGGTATCTGATTGATTTCCTAATGCTCCATATGTACTGATATGTATAGGCTACTGCCCTTTTTGTTGCCAGTTCTCGCTTGGTGATATATTTTGATTGATTTACATATTTTGGCTCATATACATTTCATTTCACAAGCAACACTCACTCTGGTGGCATTTTTCATAACATGAAATGACTACTATTTTCTCGGCAAAACATACAAAGTATTACTACTATATAAAAGAAACTGCACCAAATAAAACTAAAACATAAACTAAGTCCACGTATATATAGCACTTCATATGTTTATTTCCAAAATGTGATTTTTTGGATCCCATTAAGAGCCCGTTTGGTAGAAGGAAAATCGCCTGGTTTGGCTGATTCTGCTGAAATTTCTGAAGTTCTAGCTGAAGTGGCTGCATTGGCTGATTCTGCTGATTTAAGAAAAAAATATTTTTAAAATATATTTTATTAATAAAATAAAGAAAAAATTATATGTAAAAATAGCTAAAATGGCCATCTACAGTAATTTCAGCCAATACAGCCAGAAAAGTAACTCCAACCTTACTTTTTCTGCTTATTACACAATTCAGCGCGCTAAAGCAAAAATTACGTGTTTGGTGGAAAAGTTGACTGATAAGCCTGATAAGCCGAAAAGGGGTGTTACCAAACGGCACCTAAATGTATGAAACATTCTCAATTAGAAATGAATGAGCCCTATTTTGAGAATAAAACATAATTAGTCACATTTCCACATATTGTCTATGTTTTAGTCAAAACTTTCTAATACTCCCTCCGTCTTATTTTGGTTGTCCTACTTTCCTTTTTGGGTTGTCCCAAAATGGATGTCTTGTTTCGTTTTTTGGAAAGAAATATGTGGTCCTTATCATTTCACTTTATTCTACTCAAATTTCAATCACAATTTTTATTTTTCAATAACTTTATTAATCATCGTGTCAAACTGAAAGTGGACAACCAATATGGGACGGAGGTAGTATAAATTATACGAAACAGTAGTGTGTATTAATTTTCGTAGTATAGTTTAAAAGTGTGGTTGTTAAAAGTTGGACACTAACATTTTGAATAGTTTCTTGCTCCATATAAACGAAAACTCTATCAATTACAAACATCAAACATGGACCAATCTTCCAAAGAGGATTAACATAAAAATGCTGTTGAAGGAACTGTAGTTATAGGAAACTTTCCGAAATATGAGTAAAAACATTGTGAAATAGGGAAATCTCCCAAAAGAGGGGAGTACTACATTTTTCTTTAAATAATTGTAATTTACTACCATTTTGAAATTCTACTACTCCCTTCGGATCTTTTTAAACTTCAGTGTTTGACTTCACAGTTATTAAGGAAATAATGTTGACTTTACTGTAGAGTACATTGTTGAGACACTGTTTGGCACTGTTGAGACATTGTTTGGCACTGTTGAGACACTGTTTGACACTGTTTAGCACTGGTTAACACTGTTTAACACTGTTTTGATGTAGGTTTCTTTGCCAAATAAAGAAATAAGAAAGTGTGAAGTTTATTTTGGACCGTCTCAAAAAGGAAAGTGTGAAGTTTATTTAGAACCGGAGGGAGTATCATATTTCAACGTTAATTACACTTTCGTACTACCCCCGTCTTAAAAACATTGCCATATTGACTTCTCTTGATCAACGATGGTAAATTTTAAGCAATGATTTTACTTATTATATATTTATATTTGTATGTAAATTCATAAATTTTATATTTTTATGAAAATATTGTTAATTTTTTTATATATAAATAATTTTCATATTTATCATTAGTCAAACCTGGTCATCATTGCTTTAAATCATTAATATTAAAGTCATAATGACTATTTTCAAAACATTATAGTAATTACTCATACCTAAAAAAAATAAAAACACAATACTGATATATTTTGATTTGACATTGTTTTTACTCCTATTTATATCAATCTTTTTAGCACATTTCGGTTTTTGAAGATAAGATAAAAAATCTATTAAAACAATTAAGTTGTTAAACATTCAATAATCTCTCGAAGAGGCTGCGACTGTACTTGCCTTATTGATGAATATTATAGCAAAAAAACATAACGTTTTACTTTATGTCAAACTCATCCCAAAATTTCTAGTCACTTTTGCTGGGAAGTGTTAGACGAGCTTAGTTGAAACTAGGGGTTGACTCGGTAGAACCAATTGGTCCTCAAGCCGGACCGTGACCAATTTTTCTGGTCCGGTCTTGGAACAACTGGACCCCTCTCCCACCAACGCCAGTATGGTTAGGGTATTTAGATACTGGAACAAGACGGTTAGGTCCTGGTTCGATCATTTTTTCATTTCAAGGTTCAGAATCATTTTTTAAAAGGCATGAACCCATTCAAAAGATGTAAATGGGAGGTAGGGAGTGGAAAGGGTTTCAAAAATATAAAAATTTAAAACTGAGACTAGCAGAGAAGGTTAGGCACTCGAGCACTACAAGAGAGGTCGAATTCACAAGTCAAAAGCAGAGATGTCAAGCGCAAAAAGGGTTGATTAGGATGGGGGCATTCACGTCCATTGATAGCTTCTTTAGTTCCTTTTAGTCCATACAAAATTTGATCCCATTCTTATCTTAACAAAATTTCATTCAGCATCAGCTAGAAATCCTGGGATGGATTTTCACTATAAAAATAAGCAAAGGGATTCTCAATGTAGCATGTGCATGACACACCCATTGTTAGCTGATACGTTTGTAGGGCATTTGCCGCTACTAGTATCATAGTACGTTCACGTTGTGTCTGGTGTTTTTATACTGCGGAACTGACATGAAAAAAATCTAGGCGTGGTAAATAAATGTCCCTTGGAACTTTGAAGTTAAGGAAAATTAAATGTCAATTCATTCTTCTCGTGCATTGATCGCTAAGATCTGCATCGATTTCCATTTCAATTTGAAGTACCCAGTCCATGAAGTTTTTTTTACACATGGTAAATGAATTAATGTGTGCAAAAACAGATCAAATACGTACTTAAGGCTTAGGTGTCCTTGGCTAACTTGCTCAGCTACCATAAAATACAACAGCTCCTTGGATATTTCAACACGTATGATTGGAGACAGAAAATGCAGGGGAGGATAGGGGGGGATGGAATGTTCCCAAATCCCAAACAAAAAATATTAGTGTAACATTTTCATTAGATTTTGTGCAACCAATTGAGGATTAATACTGTCCCAAAAATGTATACCATGCAAAACCACGGACTTCAATCAACACAGCAATCCAGCAGCAACCCACCACTTCAGATCAAACCCAGACCAGTTGAAGATATAAGCTCTCCATAATATACTCGCAGGTCAGCAAACAACATACTCGCTTTATAGAGCTTTGCTTGACCAAAACAACCTTCAACAGCGTTCAGCAATAAGACAACATTTTACACATGGTTCTCCTGTGGGTGCCTTTTGTGGTCCCTCTCTGAATAACCACCAAGTCTCCCGCTCCTATTCCGGTCGTCTGGAAAGTCATGGTATGTGTGATTGTGAGTTGCTGAAGACATGTACTCGTGACGCTGCTTTCCCTCCTCCAGAGGACTACTTGCCTTTCTCTTACGGTTGACTGACTTGGGCGACTGATACCCCCCCTTGTCAGCATCATCATCCCCAATATAAGGTTCCAATTCCCCTTCTTCTACATTGTTATTATTCTTGTAATCTTCATCATTTTCCAAAGACTGACCCTCTCCTTTCATTTCTTGGTGGTGGTGATGGTCGTAATGCCTATTGCCTGTGGAAGTCTCTTGATGGTGCTTCATTGTGTTGTCATGATCTGGCCTGTTTGAAGGCTTAGACCAACTCTGTCTTCTTTCCCGCTTGCTCTTTTCGGCCTCGGCAGCCAATTCTATCCCGTCCTCCAACTCTCTTTCAATGAGATCATCATCATCCAACACATCTACCTTCCTGGCTGCATCCCCACGAGACTTCCTGTTTCTCTCTAGTGCCGCTTTGACCTTGTCTTTGTCAATCTTCTTGATGATAACCTCTTGCGGTGACTGGACAACTGTTGTGACATCCTTGTGTTCCAAGGCCCGACCATTGTGCAGCTTGCTTGATGATGCAATGACGGCGGCATTTCCTTCTACTAGCTCATCTTCACCATGATACGGCAATGGTGGCTCTCTTTCATGATTCCGCTTATCACTTGACTTGCCACCATCATCACCGCGTCGTTCCAAAATGCTTTTCTCAGAACTTTCATAATCATTGATGTGGTTCTGACCTCCCCCCCTGACATGATTATCAGCATGTAAATGATCAGGAATTGGCCTATGGGAGGAGGACGCTATGGAGGTCCCTGTCTTTGCACTACCACCATAAGAAATGTTGTTGTTCTCTTCATTTGCAACAGAAGAACCTGTGGGCCTTTGGGTACCTCCTGCTGCTGCTACAGCAGCACTTTCCTCTGCTTCACTGGCATGAGAAGGTGGTGGTGCTTTGTTCTGTTCATATAGTTCTAGCATTTGGTTGCTCACCTCTGCAAGATTTTAAAAAGTAAATGTCAATACAGGCATCTTTAACCTCTCCTTTATTAAAATCCTCCATGCAAAAGAACAATAAATAAGTATATGCATTTATACATTGGGATAAATAATCCATTTTAAGAATCCTAAAGCCATTTTTCAGAATATTTAGTAAATAATGAGCCATAATCTTCATAAATGAAAGTATAGTCAGTTAGTCATTCAATACCACAATTTATTTTTTATCTATAAGAGACTGAATGTAGAGTATATCCAAAGCAAAGCACCAACCCACCCTCCAATTGACGTGGGGTGACATCAAACTCCTGCCACCAAACCTTCTCACCATCATGTGGGAGCTTAACTTTGAGAAACTTGGCAGCAAGGAAAATGGCACCTGCTGCAATGTGGTGGGGCTTAAATTGCAAGCATAAAGATGTCCGAAGCCTGCATGTGGCTTTCCCAGGTCATCAAAAGAGATAAGGGGATAATATGTCATAGGATCAATTCCATACAACAACAAAACCACAATAATGCAATCCTACCCATCATTAACAAAATTCCATGCAACTTGAGCAAGTGCATTTTGTGCAACCTTGAATTTTTTAATTGCCTCGACAAGGGGTTTATATGGATGAAGCAGATTAAGGTCAAAACCAAGGGTAGCCAGAACTACCCTCTCTCCCACCAAAATCAGTTCTTTTTGTTGTTCATAGACTTCCTGCATTGGATGTTAAAGTTTTAGATAGTTGCGATATGGAAACCTCATAACAACCACCCAAGTAATTTCAGCCTTGGATCAAAGTGGGAAAAAAAGTAACAAACAGGAAATCAGTAAGCGAGAATGCACCGGATTAGTATAAGCATTGCTACAGTACGTATAAAATACCTTTTGCTTAATCCTTTGTATTGCTGCCGGGTCCTTCTTATGAATAACCTCGTATGACACAAGTATAACATCTTTCAAGGGTCGAGGTGTTTCTTCAACCTTCCCGGCAAGAAACATGCATACAGTGGCAATGTTCTGCAAGAGGTATAAATGAGTTGACAGTTAAATTAACATGAAAAATATTATACATCCACAAGTTGAACATTTGAGATTCGTGATAGGTGGTCAAATTCTTCTCCTTCTCAAAAGGTGACACTGAAATTTTATAGTCTAAGAGATACTGCTGAGTGCCGAAGCAAAATTGGTGCAGATAAATGATCCCACGACATGAATTTTACAAGACTAAAGGCAAGCCTGAAAGATGCATCTAGGCCATTAGAAAACAACTTCAATGCAAACCAAATGTTGATTGTACTATTCCATTTCTTAGGCAATTTAAGGGTGGCAATTGGTGGGGTAACCTACACAGCTACACCACTGCACCCACCCTTCTAATTCTACCAACTCACTGCAACTAACTCAGCATCTTATCTTCCATGTAGCAAATTCAATTTGATTACATGTTGCACCGTACATCCATATAAATAATCATTTAATCGTATCACCACATCCATATATGATATTTTAAGAGGGACTAATTCATCATGATTTCATGTTGGTTTTACGATATCAATCACGTACGAACATGCCATTAGCAACAATCTCAACTAATCATCATCTCATTCTATTTTCCAGCACAGGGAATTATCCTATAATGATGGCGGTTTAGAATGGCATCTCATTACTTCTTCGTAAGAGGATTGCAGCATGCATTCTCTCTAAGGAACCGCTAGTCATTTTGCATAAAAATAGTATTCACCAGTTCTAGATAATTAATTGGCATTATAAATTAAAGACACTAAAAAGTTGGGATTAAGGTGCTACTAATGATATGATTTGAAGTACATCGAGATCAATTACACATACCATTGAATAAAAACAGATATCTTGACATTTCATAACCTGACATACATTCTTCTTAGTTACATTTACATAACACAAATAGTTAGGTGTATAACACCTTTAAAGAGAGTGGTTGTTTTCACATTGAATCTGCAGAAAAATCATCTCAATTTGAGAGCAACCATTATAAAAGTGTAATTGCTAGATATGAATCTGTATTGGGCAAAGTATGAGAATAGAGACTGAAGATACAAATGCAGCCTCATCTCTTGGATTAATGCAGACGGAAATGAGAGTGACCAGAGTATGATCAGAGTTCCTGATGCGAAAAGAATTGCAAAATAAAGGCATGAAGGGTGACAGGTGACTGCAGGTGAAGAAGCGAAGCACAGAAGAGCAACAAAAACAAAAGTAAAAAAATGTGGCTGCCTGATATTGGAATCCTAGAAAGAGAGGCCTGACAGTCTGTCACAAGACTTTGGGTTTGCAGGTTATATTATTTGCAGTCCAAATGAGCCAATTCTGCGAATATCATATCAACATATGCTTATGCACTTTGGCATGCAGCCATGCACCTCAAACACCTTAAAAAACACGGTGATAATGCAAAGCAGAAATTTCATATTGGTCAGGAAGGAGGCAACCTTGCTCTGGGCATCACAGAGCAGTTGAGACCGCATCCAATAACTCGCTACTCGGTAGTATCTCGGTCAAGGACCGAGTAGCGAGTAGGACCAATTACTCGGGATTACTCGGTGATTACTCGGTCTTGTATTAATTAAATTTAATAACATAAGTGCCCGAGATTATAGAAATATAATAGTCTTAAAATTATCTTAAAATGCATAGAAATGAATAAAATGATAGAAATGCTAATGATGGAGTAGCAAAAGTCATAAACATTCTAAGTTTTCAAGAAAATCAATCATTTAATAATTTGGTAAGATCTCTGTTCTCTCCCCATGTCCGTCCTATATCATCTGATTTTCTCTTAAGTGTAGTATTAGCATATTCAGCCCCATTAGAAGCCTCAGCAGACTGAGCAGAACTCATGAATGTCAATTAGATTGTGTGTCAGTGTGTATCAATCAATGATGTGCCATAGTAAACAATCAATATAGTGATATTAATTAAAAGTTACGTAGTATAAAATAGAGTCATACTAGTGAAAAGAATTTATTTATATCAAAATATATGTGTGTTGATACTTTAAAATAAAAATCAACTGGCGACAAGGTTGTTAAACTCGAGATCCTAGCACGGATCGGATGAGGATTGGTAGATCGTAACTCGGATCGTAAGATCTTAGAATCAAAGCTCATATGTAATATTTATAAAACATACATCTATATTAAGTTATATTAAAATTCTTTTAATTCACCCTTAATAATAAATTACTTAAATAACTTCATGACCATTAAAATTTATAAAATATGCATCTATAATTAATTAAATTTAAAAATATCTTAATGTACCCTAAGTAATTAATTACTTAAATAGGTTTATGGCTATAAATAAAGACTTATTATGGATTTAAGAGATTACAAAATATGTCTCAGTTGTGGATATGAAGAACTGGTATCTAGGGGACAGACAGTGAAAAATAAAAAATATTATCGTCTAAGAAAAACAGGAGTTGCAAATGGCCGACTTATACATTAACTGGGTATTCACATTAACTAGGACTCTTCGTAATTTACGTTCCGTTTTAAGACTTTTAGGACGTTTGCGCCTTTCTAATTCCTTCGCATCTTTTGGAGTTCCGATGTAAGAGCTTTTCCATATTTGCTGAACAGTACTCGACCCAGCGTTGCGACTTCTCTCTCGCAGATCGACTCGGAACTCCGATCCGGCGTTTTTACATCCAGCTCGTCGATCCCACAATTCAGCCATGTTTTCCGATCATTAGCACGATCTAGATCATCCAAGTGCACTTTACTCGCAAGATTAGACGATCTTACGAGTTGACACGCAATCTTAACAACCTTGATTGGGAGGGTGGAAGAAGAAACGAGAGAGGGGAGAGGGGAAGATACGAGAAAGAAGATGACAACTTCTTGAGAAATTGTAGTCATAGCTCTAGTGGGATAGTAGATGTCACTATGTCAGAAATTCTGTTTAACCTAGGTTTTGTAACATAATTTTTCAATTTTATAAGGGGGGCCGAGTTAGACCGAGTAACTCGCCGAGTTGAAAACTTCACCGAGTTGAGAAACTCACCGAGTACTCGGCGAGTAACTCGGAAATAAAACACGGACCGAGTTAGGTAGCTACTCGACAAGGTCAGTACCCGAGTTGCGAGTACTCGCCAAGTACTCACCGAGTAGATAACCCAGTCCAATACCATTAATATTACCCCCAAACAATCCCAATAATGTTGAGATCAGTAGCATGAGATTTTAAATGTCAATCAATAGTCTAAAACTATTGGCAAGGTTTTATGTTAGATGCCTTGTCTCGAACTCTGTTAGGTATTGGCCAATTCAACAGTAATTCTGAGCTCAAAATTGGTGAAGAAGATCGAAATCAGAAGTTTATTGATAAACTGAGATATACGAATACAATTCCCAAGTCGTAACATGGTTCCGACTCCCAGTCCCAAGCCTAAGATAATTCCAACCTCCCTTACTCTACCCTTCTATCCACCTTTATACTATTCATTCTCTAATGGGCCAGCTCACCTCCAATTAGTTAAAGGGCCTCAACCCTTTTTATTACACAACAATAAAAGACTTAATAATACTCTTAGAGTCTTAGGTCTCTATCATCACTCCCCCCTTTGACAACCACCTTGTCCTCAAGGTGGGGAGTAAGAGCAGCCCTGCCATCCAGCTTCATCCTCGTGCCCCTTCCTTCCCAGTACCTCACTGCTGGCTGGACAAGGAGCTTCCATACTTGAATCTTCCTCGTCACTTGATTCACCTCTGATCTTCCACATAGTGCATCAATTACTTCAGCTCTATGGTTCTGCTTAGCCCATTTTTCCACTGCTGGTTGGTTTGGTTTAGTAGCATCTACTAGAGTTGTCTCCAAGCTACTCCCAGATTCTGCATCCATAACCGCAATGACGCTGTCCAGTGAAAGAATGTCATCTTCAGCCGCATTTTGGGTCCACCCAACAGCATCCCTCCAATCAACTTTCATTGAAAGACTCCACGAAAACCTCTCTGCAACTTCACCTTCCCAAGGCGTAGAGTTAACTCTCACTTGCTTTCTTGGAAAAGCGAGTGGGAAACCGTGGACTAGCTTCCAGAGGGAACAATCTTTGCTAGTGTCATGCCAATCAGAGATAAAACAACTTGTTGCACAGAAAACGGAAGCAACATTTTCAGTCCCCACATTAATATGGTAGTATTCCATAGGGGTGAAACTTGAATCTGACAAAATATGAACTCCACCACACAAAAAGGCAACTGCAATTTCACCAGCATTAACCATATGAAACAGGTAGTCAAAACATACAGCTTCCTCTTGAACATATATACAAACTGCTGGCAGTCCCTTAACATCTTCACCCACGATTATGACATCTGGGAAAAGACCAGGAAAGAGATCTTTAATCCGCCTCAGATTCAAGTCAGCTTCAAACCCAGTAACATATCCAACATGATGAGTGCACATCATAGAAGTAACACTATCTAACCGGAAGCCATCAATACCCATAGCTCCTCTATTGGAACCAACGTACATATAATGACATGATCCTAAGCCCAACTTGGTAGCTAACTGATGGTAATGTTCAAGTGTAGTTCGTAAATACCTGTCAGCATCACAAATCAATGTGTTGTTTCTAAGGATGATTGCAGATTCTCCACAAAGAGCAGCCAAAATAGTGAATGCAACATGAGGTTCAGTACGAGAGTTCTTAGAAGTGAATTGTGAGAACATTTCCCAGCCAACCAGCTCTGGTTGAACTCTTCGAATCACAGGTACAGGGAAGGACTCCCAGTTATGTTCATCAATAGCATCAGTGTATGAGCTGAGGATTCCTTCCAATCTATCTTGAATAGCAAACTTTCCTCTGCACAACACCTCCATACGATCTACAAAACTTCCATGTGAAAACTCTACCCCGAGTGGAATCTTTGCATCTGATTTCCCAGAACAGGGGTGAGCATGATTCTCTTGTGCTTCTGAATCAGTCCTACTTTCATCCTTAAGCTCACTGTGTTTCCCAAATGCAAGGTTAGTCCCATCAGATGAAACATTTGGATCTAAGATAGGCAAGGCCGGTGTATTGGCCATATACACCATGTCAAACATCAGGAACATGCCAGCGTAACCATCAGTAGTAGATCCAACCATTTTCTTCCAATTTCCAGTCATTCTTTCCCCCAATACATTTTGAGTGTTCTTACTAGAAGTATCTCCATCAATTCTAAAGCCATCAAACTCAGTCAACCCTTTTGAAATCCCCTTTGATATCTGACGGTGGACACTTGGAATATCATAAGTATGGATTCGTAGGTGAGACATGCTCTCCTCATCAGCCCCTGTGATACTGTTGTTCATTCCCAAAGCAGGATCATGGTGGTAGGTACAATTTCCTTCCTGATTGTAAGGAATATCAGGTTTGAGCTGTTCGGATTCTTCCAAACTATCTGCTGAGTATCCTGTCTGTTGATTAGTATCCTTGTCAGGATTTGATTCCAAAATTGAGTGTTCAACCGACTCAATATTTGTTGTCGATGATATCCCCAAGGAGGAAAATTGAGCCGACTCAGAAACCTGCGATGCATTCTGTGAATTGGTCAAAACAGCTAGCGAAGAGGAACTGTGAGGATCGGCTATAGATGACGAACTTAGAGAAGCTCTTTTCGATCGTGATGATTCCCGGTTTTCTGTCTTCCGCCTGCGTGTAGGTTGGAAACTCCGAATTGTTGCTTCCTTTAGAACTTCCCAATTCTTTTCTCTCGTTCCAATTTCCCACAATTGAAACCAATTGTACGCCATTTCCTCCATTGCTTCTTCTGCGATTCTAACCTTATATTTTTCAGCAGTTCCGTTGAGCCTGAAGTAGCGTTCCATCCTAATTATCCATCTGTGCGGGTCATCCCCTTTGAATACAGGTAATTTTTGTGATTCCTCTGGACTGACGTGATTTCTCGCGTTCCTAAGGTGCGAAGTGGAATGCGAACTGTAAGAAGAAGCTCGAGACATACCTCCGGCTTCATCGCGAGTCTTCAGCATCTCATCGCAAGTCTTCCGCACTCCATCGCACTCCATCGCGAGTCTTCCGCACTCCATCGCGAGTCTTCCGCACTTCATCGCTAGCCTTCCACACTTCATAGCGAATGCGCTGGGCCTCCTCATTTCTGATTCTGGCTTCATCGCGAGCCTCCTCGCTCCGGATTCGGGCCTCTTCGCTCCTGATCCTGGCCTCTTCGCGAAGCCTCTCAAACTCGCGCTCCATGTTTGCCGATCGCCTCGCCAAATCGCGCTCCAATTTTTCCAATCTTCCTTCCATCGCTCTGCGTGTATCGACCGTTGATAGGCTACAGGAACGAATGCTCTGATACCAATGTTAGGTATTGGCCAATTCAACAGTAATTCTGAGCTCAAAATTGGTGAAGAAGATCGAAATCAGAAGTTTATTGATTAAACTGAGATATACGAATACAATTCCCAAGTCGTAACAAGGTTCCGACTCCCAGTCCCAAGCCCAAGATAATTCAAACCTCCCTTACTCTACCCTTCTATCCACCTTTATACTATTCATTCTCTAATGGGCCAGCCCACCTCCAATTAGTTAAAGGGCCTCAACCCTTTTTATTACACAATAATAAAAGACTTAATAATACTCTTAGAGTCTTAGGTCTCTATCAAACTCTCAACCATTTTACAAAGGAATAATGGGATGCGATAGATAACTGCCATACATTAATGGAGTACATCATAATAGATTTATAAGTTCACATAGTCCCATTGCAGGATCGATATGATAAAATCAACATGACAAAAACAAAATCTCTCATTGTATAAGAACATCGACCACATATGTTCAAATGTATTGGTGTTAATAACCATGAACAAAAGTTGTCATCAACTAATACACTTTTCATTAAATGTCAATTGATCAGAAATAAATACTAGTAAAAGGTAAATAAATACAGCACTAATACCATCAAACCATACAACCATCCAATGCACAATTTATACAACAGAAATATCACAAACAGCAGCAGGTTAGTGTCGTCTGTAGAAATATATAATGGCATAACTGCAGTGTGTAATTGAAATTTTCACAAACAGTAGGGTGGCATATGAACATATTACTTACCCTCCTATCATTTTTGGCATGAGATTGACGAAGAAAGAAACGATGACAAAATATTATTGCAGTAGCAATGGTCACCTGAGGCCTGCAAGGCAACACATCCAACACCACAATTAAACTCAGAAGACATTTGTTGGACTGTGCATATTATACCGTATCCAAAGAAGGAAAAACAAATGGCTGATATAGTACATATATTATTTCTGAGTTTCTCACTTGACAATATTATCTATCACACTGACTCAAATATAGATAACATAAAAAGGTGCATAAGATCATTTTTTGCTCAAGCGATGAGAAATGACTCCCCCAGTAATCAGTTCATTCTAAGAGAAAACCCTCCAAATTCAATACCTACCCTGTTTCCTTTTAATCTTCTCCCTCACCTTGTTGGAACATCACTAAACAACCTTCATGTTCACCTCAAGGAAATAAATTTGTGCGTTCTTTTAATTCTTTCCTTTTTTAAAGAAATCCATGACCCACTCAACCACATGGCAGTATAATGTCATTTTGTTTAACCCGAGCGAGAGTGAAGATTAAATAGTCATGGATGGGATACTACACGTGCAAATATCTTTGTAGTTTTAAATGTAAAGTAAATGTCACCACTCTAAATCTTTAACAAACAAGTTAGTCGTCCAACAAAGGATCAAATTTGTGGTGGGACATTGTATTGTAATTCAAAGTGTCGCCAATTTTTTTAGAGAGGCAAATACCATTTCATTCGAACCTGTTGAGAGCATGCGGTATCAAAGTTTTCATCTTTTTATTATGGAAAAGTAGGTAGGTTTGTGATAACCTTTTTAAAATACTTGTTGTATATAGTTCAATTATAATACTATATCAGCTAATTAATTTCAAATTTCATCTATATGCTATAACAATCATATGAAAATTGTATGATGCTAACTGCTAAACATATCAGTAGTTTAGTGAGCAAGAAGGTATCTATACTGATCCAATTTCCCAAAATAAACAGGATTAGACGATATCTGAACAGGTGAAATTGAGGTGCACGGTGCGGTTGAGGACCTGAACTCAAGCCTGCTGATGTGGAGTAAGCAGCAGCTGATGGGTACACCCTTATCACTGAAAAGGGGCATAAGCCCTGAGAAACAAGTACACAGGCCCACACATGTGATTATGTGAATTCGGTGTGATCCATAGTATACCTGTGCAATTTTCCGAACTGTTTTGGAGCATCTCACAGTAACCGAAGTTTCTAAAGCTCACTAATGGGTCAAAAGCATTCAAATGATGCAGAAACCTTTAATTCAAGATTGCAGGGTGTACAATGAGCGAATAAGAGAATACAGCCTTGTCAATGAAGAAAGGATATATGCGCTGAGAAAGAAGTTTGCTAGTGCTGAATGCTGATGTGTGAATGTGAATATGTGATATGATCCTTTGCATGCCTATGCAATATTTCAAAAGCTTTCTATGTTTTGGAGCATCTCATACTAAGTTACTAACCAAAGTTTTTAAATCCCAATAATGAGTCAAAACTCAAAAACATGTGAATAATCCAGAAACCCCAAGTCCTTTTTATGGATGATCCAAAGAGTGAAAAATGGTGCCAGTTCGTTTTATTTCCTTTCCTTATTCTTAGTGTTCCTATCATCGTCCTCTTTTTCTTTTTCCTTCTTCATTTTATATGTTCTTCCATTCTAATTGTAAGCTCGCTGCTCTGTTATTTTTCGGTCTCAACATTCTACCTTCAATTTCTCATCATACAACCTGCTCCTCTTTTACTGTCTTTTTTTTGTTATATATAAGCACTCCAGCTACCTCTTTTTTCTTTTTCTTTTTCCTCATGCGACCTGCTCTATTTCTTTCTTTTCTTTGATCTTATTCTACTGATTTGATGTATCACCAGTTTCCTTTTCTTTTTTTCTCTGTTGACATTTTTTAATGTTTTATCATAGGTATCTACAAAATATGGTGAGAAGCTTAAAAAAGATTTTGTAATGGTCCTGCTACTTCCAGTGGAGATCTAGGTAATTAAACTGCTGTTGGTGGCATGGTGGCAAGGCCAGTAGCAGAAAACTTCTTGGAAGCACAGTATCGAAATACAACTTCCAGCAGAACAAATAACTGTATTTATCTTGAACGGGAAAAAGGTGGATTAAAGGGATGCACATTGGACGGAAGTACTCAATAATGATTCATTTTAGCATTTTGAGAACATAGCTTTAAAAGACATGAGGTGCCATGAGGCGTTTTTGTTAAATTTAGCAGAGGCGAAGGCGCGCTTCACAGAACTTAAGCATACAGATTTGCTAAGAATACTTATACAACATGGGCATGATACCTTCTACTAAAAAATAATGATAAACTCATACAAGTACCAGAAGTATTTAACCAAGCACAAAGAGCACCAAAATCAGTCAGAAGAGAAACAAAATAAACATTCATTGGTTACTGATTTAATGTATCCTGGGGCTTACAGTTTACTGGTTTCATGGTTTTCAAAGGCGAATGAGGTGCAAAGGTGGCGATGAAGCGCCTTAGAGGCTTAAGCCTCTATCAGTAAAATCAAGGTTTCCGCCTTGAAATATGTGATGCAAAGGGCACAAGGCGAAATGCGGTAAGGCGCTGCGGCGAGTAGAGGTATAAGCCTCGCTTGTTGCTATATTTCACGTTAAACTCTTAGATATTGCGCTGATATTTTAAAGTTACTAGCCTTGGACCTCTTTCTTATTTTCATTTTCCCTCCTAAATACTAAAACACACCTAACCCTAGTTCACGTGCCCTGTTATTAACTTATCGGTTCCATCCCAATGGTCATCAGTCATCACCAATGTTATTAGCTTATCGGTTCCACCTAACCCTAGTCTTACAATGGTCATCAGTCATCACTAATCTCTTTATGTCCATCAGTCACCAGTGCTGATCCAACAGGAAATGATAACTCCTAACAAAGAGGTCTTCTGTTCTGTACAAACTTAAGCCCCTAAGCCTATTATAATCTTTAAACTTGGATATTTACTATTTTATTTTCTTCTGACTTTGATATTTTACCATTTAATGTTCTTTTGACTAGGATACTTTACTGTTATGTTCTCTTTACTTGTGATTTTGTTTAGTTGTGATGAGTTACCTATACTATTCTATTTATTGTGCCGATATTTTTACAATAAAATATGACGTCGTTGTGCTTTGCTGGGCTACGGCCGACCACCTTGGGGCAAATTTTGACATTTGAAACCTTTACTGAATTAACTAAGTTTATAATGTAAAGTTTATTTGTACTAATATAATGTGTCCTGGACATTAAATATATCAGTTACTCATTTACTTAGTTATATGGCTAAAACATTAAGGAGGCGTTTACTTCGCTGCTAAAGTCACAGTTAGGTTAGTAAGACAGGTGAAAAGCCGCTTACTAACCGAAATAGGTGCTTAAAGTGCCGCTTACTAAGCCTACCACCCCCCATGTATTAATTAAGCGGCACTTTAAGCTTTTTCAGTTTCCGAATTTACCCCTTGCCCTTACTCTTATTGTTACCCCTACCCGCTACCCCCGATCCCACCCTACCCACTACCTCCATCCATACTCGTACCTTACCCCTACTCGACCATTACCCCACCCACCCCACCCCACACCTAGGCCCTTACCACCTTACCCCAACCCCCTACCCCCCCACCACATCGGCCCTACCAGACCCCACCATATATTATCTTACCCTACTCCTACCTTACTCCTACCCTACCCTACCTTACCCCGACCCCACCCCACCTGACACCCTTACCCACCCCTACCCTACCCCAACCCTCAAACCCTAGGCCCTTACCACCTACCCCAACCCTACCCCCTAGGGCCCCCTCCTACCCCAACCCCTTACCACATCGGCCCCACCCCAACCCATGCACCACCCTACCCTTACCCGACCCAACCCCTACCTACCCAACCCCCACCCCCTAGGCCCCCTTACCACCCTACCACATTGGCCCTAACCCTGAACCCACCCAGCACCACCCTACCCCAGCGGGCCCACCCCCAACCCTACCCTACTCCTTACCCCCCCCCTTTACCACCCTACCCCAACACCCTACCACTACCACATTGGCACCACCCCCGACCCCACCCTTTACCCCCCCTTACCACCCTACCCCAACCCTGTACCCCCTACCACGTCGGTCCCACCTCCAACCCCACCCTACATGGTGTATGATGGCGGTAGGGTGGGGGTGGAGCCAAGGGGCATCTGGTAGAGGTGGTAGGTGTGGGGTAGGGTGGTAAGGGGTGGGGTGGTTAAGGGGTTGGGGTTGGGTTGAGATCGGGGTGGGGCCGAGGTAGGGGCAAGTGGTGTATTGAGTGGGGTTGGGTCGTGGTTAGGGGTAAGGGTGGGGTCAGGGTTGGGGTAAGGTATGGTAGGGTAGGGGCCTGGGGTCAAGGTAAGGTAGGGTATGGGTAGGAGTAGGGTAGGATAGGGTGTATGGTAGGGGGTTGTGGTAAGGGCCTAGGGGTAGGGGTGGGGTCGAGGACGGGATAATGGTGGGGTCAAGGTAAGGTAGGGTAGGGTAGGAGTGTGGTAGGTTAGGGTGGGGTCCGGCTGATGTGGTAGGGAGTAGGGGTAGGTAGGGTGGTATGGGGCCTAGGGGTTGGGGTGTGGGTACACATAATACTTGTGTTCATGAATGTTTGTGTGTTTATATATGTATAGGGTTATTTTGGACATTTTAATGCTAAACGATGTTTTAAACCTTTTGAAGTAAACACGATCTTACAATGTTGCTTATTTTATCCGCCACTTATTAACGCGGGTCTTAGTAAGCACCGTTTAGTAACCCGTGAAGTAAACATGTCCTAAGGCTTCTGATTTTAAGACTATTTGAATGATTACAAATTAAGGCTTGCTGGTTAAATCAGAAAGATTATGTTGAGGCTTCTGGTTACATAATTATTGAATACAGTTGATATTGTATAATAGATTATGTACAATTATACACTTATAAAGTCCATACTAAATTATTTTTTCAATAATCTATTATACAACTTATTCTAGAGTACTATCATGCTATTATATTTTAAAAATTAACCATCGATGTTCAAAAATGTTGACCAAAGAAATATAATGGGTAGTTTACTTTGGGATAGGGAGTAGAAAACAATGAAAAAGACAGTTAGATTGCCATTGGATGATGAATGATTTTAGGGTTATAATGATGAATATTTTTCAAACATAAGGATGATGTACAAGAAAACATGTGAAAATTATGGGATGCAGTGGTTGAGCAAAGATTCCAAAAAAGTGTGAAAATTATGGGAGAATTAGTTTGGACGCTTAACAACTTAGGTCATTCACCGTTTTCGACAAGTTGTGGAGTCATATAGAGACAATGCAAAGGATCTGCATTTGGTGTTCCATTGACTTAAAAAGGCATATGATAGGGTACCTTGAGAAGTCCTTTGGTGGGCCACAACTAGAAAAGGCATATCACGTAAGTATATAAGCAGCAACATGAATATGCATGAGGCTTGTACTACAAGTGTCCGTACTAGTGTATGGAGGATGGCAGAGTTCCCTATTACTATCGGAATGCACTAAGAATTGGCTATAAGTCTTTTCATATTATTTGCTATAGTCATGGATGAACTTACGAAGTTAATTCAAGAATATATACTGTGATGCATGATGTTTGCCGAAGATATTGTATTGATTGATGAGACACAATCAGATGTTAAAGCAAAATTGGAAGTATGACGACAAACATTGGAGACCAAGGGTTTCAGACTGAAAGCAAGACTGAGTATATGGAGTGCAAGTTTGATAAAGGTAGAAGTAGTAGCAAGAGTGAAATTACCCTTGATGGCAAGGAGATACCAGTATGTGATATGTTCCATTACTTGGGCTCCATAATTCAGAAGGATGGTGAATTAGATGGAGATGTATCCCATAAAATCAGAGCTAAGTGAATGAAATGGAAGAGTGCAACCGGATTTCTATGCAATCGAGGTATGCCGACTAGACTCAAAGGTAAATTTTATCGAACAACAATTAAGTCTGCATTAATGTATGGCGTAAAGTGTTGGGCGGTGAAACAATATCACATTCAAAAGATGAGTGTGTCAGAGATGCGTATGTTGCGTTGGATGCGTGGACATACCAGAAAAGACCGCTTGAGGAATGAGATAATCAAACAAAAGATGGGGGCAACACCTATAGAAGATAAGATGTAGGAGTCTTGATTGCGGTGGTTTGGTCATGCGCGTAGAAAATTGAGTGATTCACTTTTTAGATGAGTGGAGAGGTGGGGGGAAGAGGAAGGCCCAAACAGACTTGGATTAGATGTGCTCAAAAGTAATGAAAATCAAAGCAAAAATGGGTATGGAACATTCTTTGTAATGTTTATATGGGGACTTGACCCTCCAATGAAATACACAGAAAATCATTCTCTCCTCATTACTATTCTATCTTTAATTCTGTTAACACTAATAAATTCTATGAAATACATGAAAATGCAATGATAGGTGGCCGGATTTTAATAAGAGTGTATTTAGTGTTTTTAGCTTAGAAATCCATAAAAATTCACCGAAATCCACCATTTAATGAAGTCCATAAAAATCAACTGAAAATTGAGTACACCCAGAATTTAATGGAATGAATACTTAGTTGGGGACATCCAGAATTTAACCGTCATCAAAATTCTAAATTGAGAAGACTGGGAATCCATCGCAATTTTAAAATCCATCAAATTCTACCTTGAGAACACCCCCTTAGTATTTTATGTCCTTGAATGATGCTCAATAGTTTTTTAGTGTGTTTGTATAAAGAATTATATAAACTGTGTTTGGACTTTGGATATACAATGGGTTTACTAGCCTCGATGCCAGTGGCGGAGCCACTCGTGTTCAAAGGTGTTCACATGAACACCCAAAATTTTGAAAAACATGTAGGTATATATGTATAAATTTTGTATAATTACTTATTATACTCTTTAAATTTGTAATTGTAAAAAAGTATTGAACACCCAAAACCTAATTTCCTAAGGGGGCAACACCCCCTTAGGAAATGCAAACAATCGGTACTTGCAAACTTACACTTTAAGTCGCATACCCAGATCTTGTAAGAAAGTGCAATACGATTTCCGCAAGTAAGTCTCCTTCTTCAAATCAATGCCATCATGTCTAGAAGGAGAATTTTCTTCTATCTCTCTCCTAGAGAAATACCAACTACCACCACCTTCTTCTGCGTTCTCTTGAGTTCCAGCGTCATATAATCCATGGTGAGAGGGATCTGCAGCCATCCGAGAAGCAAAAGATACTGCTGGATTTCAAAAGAAATTACAAGTGAGTGAAAAGAATTACAGTACAGAGACTACAGACAAGATCAAACATTTGCATCATCGCATGACAAGATCAAACATTTGCATCATCGCATGACAAGATCACACATTTGTATCACTGCATGAACATAATGTCAAAATATATAAAAGTGATGCAGCCACAACACACATGTAAGTAGTCACTGTAGCAATTTAAGTTGAATAAAGAAGGAAGAAGTCTTAAAAAACGCATGCTCCAAATACTGAAATAGAAAATTAAAAAGAAAATCATCAGAAAGATTATACCACCTGAGATTCTCTTCTCTTGCAGCCTATCTACTGATAATCAGTGCAGACAAGATTAATGAATAGTTTTTAGGTCTTCTTTTCACTCGAGGAAAACAAAGGAATGAAAGGGTGAAAAAGAAAGGGGTTCCCCAAAATTAAGGTACACCTGCGCAACAAAGGAAAATAAAAAAGAATTAATCATCGCATAAATATGAATTCTGAATTGAGAATACTAAAACGTTTAATGCGTCGGGGCAAGAGAAATTTTTCGCATGAATATTAAAACACGAATAAAGACAGAAATTTTCTAAGTAAAAGAAATCCAGTAAAGACAAAATCAATATAACAAATAGATAAATATAATGAGATCGTAAAAAGTTATAGAAACCGCAAAGGGGCTGTATGTAAGAGATACCTGACGAAACTCAGCAAATATACGGATTATTGAGCCCCTAAAGACCCCCAAAACCGAAGCCGTAATAACAAAATTTGACACTTCGTGAGTGATCCGAAGCTGTATCTGCAGAGCAGGCAGCGTCTTATTATGCAATTTTATGGCTGAGACATTGAATCAAGGTATGAATTCGATTGAATGATGGGGCGGCAGAGGGCAGCGCAGGGAATGACGCGCTCGACGGATAGTAGCAAAGGGTTCGAGGGGAATATACCGTGGGAAGAGGCTGCGTTAGAGAACGACGCCGTCTTCCTCGAGGTTAAGCCTTTCCTTTCTTAGGATGCATTTGGTAGGAGCAAAAATAATTACGTTAGAGCATCTCCACTGGGGTAAGGAATTAGAGTAAAGTCTATCCTACGTGGCATAGGAGAGATAGAGATAGGATGATTATTTTAATTTAATATGGAGAAAGTGGTGTGTATGGAAAAATGGGAAGGAAGAGGGAGATAGGAGTAAATTGTAGACAATGTCTATGACAATGTCCACAAATAGACATTACACGGGAATCGAGGAGCAAAATTGGATGAAAAGTGGGTTAGAAGTGATATAAAAAATGAAAATGAAAATAAATATGGAGATACGTAGGTCCTACACATAAAATTTGTGAGATAAAAAATGGGAACCAATTGTAAGAGTGTGTAAGAGAATAGACATCCCCATTGGAGACGCTCTTACATGTAGATTGTAGAGTAGAAACTTTTTTTAAAAGGCGGCTTATATTAATAATAATGAAACATTCCTGTAATGGGTCTAAATGAGCCTAACGTGGCCAAAGCAAAACCAAATCACCCCTGCCTAATGTAAGAGTCTGACAGAAATAAGCGTACGTGACAAACAAAGCAACATGACGTTTGAAAGAAAAAACACAAGCAAACAAAAACAAAAATAGAGATAGACATTCAAACCCTAGTCGCACAAATCTCCCATGGCGGCGGTTCAGGAGGAGGACGAATCAACATCTCTTCGTCCTCTTTCACCCATACAGGATCAGCCGCGGACCGCTCATCATCCTTGCCATGGTTCCCTCCGGTCACGACCGGCTGTGAGGAGACGCCGTCCCACTCCTGTTTCTTCCTCTGCGAAATCAGCCCCAGTGAAATCTTCTTCAACGCCTTCTCTCCATATCTGCTTCAATCTCCTTCGCTCGCCATCGTCCGAGCCGCACAACAACGGGACCAGCAAAACTCGAACCTCAAAAAATTCGCTAGCCAGACTCTGCAAAACGAAGGGGACGACTCGTGTAACCTGCAGAGAAATCTTCGGTGCAACGAACGCAGCAGAGACATGATAGCCACACTCAGAGTACCCTACCAAGCTTCGCGATCAAAACACCAACCTTACGGATGATCTTCGTGCGATTCCGTTGTCTAGGAATTCAAGTACAAACCACAACCAAGCCCGGACGTGACCCAGCCGCCGGGAGAGAAACCCTAGGGACGACCCTAGACGGAAGAGTAAGAGAAACTAAAAAGTTATATTGTTTTATTTCATTATTTGATGTAAATTACATGACATTTTTTAAAATATTTTCAATTGTATCATGTAATGTATTGCAAAATTTACTATTGAAGTCCTTCTAATGTGGTTTTGTCAAGGATAAAAGTGTCAATATGACAATAGTTGAAGGATCATTAGTGTCAATTTTATGAAAGTTGAAAGACTTTTTTTAGCCTAAAAGTCGAAGGATTAAATATAAAGATTTTAGATATATGTAATGCTTTTTGGTAGAAAATTTAAGGTATAAGAAGATTAACCCATAAGTCGGCTAACAATTGAGCATGATAACTCTTTCTCATATGTAGTGCATTTAGGTATAAGATAAGTTCGCTAACAATTGAGCAAGAAAACTTTCTCTCTCATATGCAGTACTTTTACGTGTAAGATAAGATAAGTTAGCTAACAATTGAGCGGGATAATTTTCGTCTCATATGTAGTTTTTTTACGTACAAGATAAGTCAGCTAGCAATTGAGCGAGATAATTTTCTCTCTCATATATAATGCTTTTAGGTATAAGATTTTATGTATAAGATGATTAGGCCATAAGTCGGATAAAAATTGAGCAAGGGAATTTTCTTTCTCATATGTTGTATTTTTAAATATAAGAAGATAAGTTGGCTAGAATTTTTTTTCTCATGGGTAATATTTTTAGGTGTAAGATAAACAATTGATCGGGAGAATTTTCCCTCTCATACTCCGTATGTAGTTCTTTTAGATATAAGATAAGTCAGCTAACATTTAAAAGATATGCAGTGCTTTTAGGTATAAGATGTTAAAGTTTAAATAAAACCAATAACATGAAAATAAAAGTAATTGGTACAGACTACAATATTGAGTTACTCATGGACGCTCAGAAGATAAACTTGCATCCATCTATTTTATAAATGTTTTATTTACTCATTTTGTAACTAAAGAATGCTCATTTGGTAGTGGCTATAATTATCCCTCATTTTTCATTATTTATTTAAGGAAAAAGGGTCAAATAGACCCATCTACAATTGTGCATCAGTCATCCAAACCCTTGTACTAAAAAAAGCATCATATAGACCCATTTACTATAAAAAAAATTGATCAAATCAGTCCATTTACTGGAAGAGGACTCCCTATAGCCTGTCAATTGTTAATTTATACGAAGTAATGTTTTCCTCTTTTTCTTAAATCTTTTTCTCTTTCTGGTCTGTGTTCTTGCTTCCCTCCTCAAGATCGGCTAGTTTGGCAGAAGGGACTCCCGCCTTTATCACCTACTGGGAGTACTTCCCAAGGACCGATGTGAGCGATTCCGATGTTGACCGGAGAACTTCGCTCCTCCCTTCTCCGGCAACCAGGCGCCGCGTGTAGCGTAGCACAACAAGAAGAGAAGACCCGCTTCCATTAGGGATGACTCCAGCTCTCCAAGAATGGTGTCGTTAGACTGCTCCAGGTCTTCAATTCGAGACAGAGACATCTCTCTTTATTTCTGGTCTGTCCGTCCAGCTTCCCTCTTCAGCCTTCAAGATCTGTCCATTGATTAAGGGAGTTGGTGTCCTTTGGCGGTGTAAAATGGTGGCCAGAGCTTGATGTACGTACTCAAGTCTGCTACCATTCAAGTTGATTCATATAAATTTAAGAAAAAGGAGAAATCATAAGTAAAGAGAAAAAGAATGAAACAAGTGTAAGAAAACAACGTAAAGGATGAAGACGAAGGGCAACAAGGACATAGATAAGGTCATAAGGCGCAGGACTAACATAGGCAGGAAGATAGAGAAAAAGTAAATAAAAAAGAAAAGGAAAAATATAATAAAATATCATAAATAAAAGTAACAGGCTGAAGATGGTCAATTTCAGGTAAAACTGACTCATTTGATCATTTTAAAGAGTAAATAGGTTTATTTGATGTTTTTTTTAGTACATGGGTTTAGATGACCTATTCACAATTGTAGAAGGGTCTATTTGACCCTTTTTCCTTTATTTAATAAATGTCATTTCATCATTTGGATGTACCACAAATGTCATTTTTCATTTTCCATATATGACTTTGAACAAGCTATACTTTTGACCTAATTCTCATACGCACATTTTGTTAAAATGTTATCATTTCTCTTTAAAGTGGTTAATTTATGAAAAATCATTCATAACTCCTCTTCACAATCTCGGATTATACTTGTCTCATTTTGTTATTCTATTTGACACTCAAACTTGATAAATGTTTTTAAAGAGAGAGCACATTGAGTTTACTAATCTTAAGTTAACACTTGGGGTGAGCTTATCTCTAATTATCTCAAATTATTATTACTAATTGTGAAACTATTATGGGGTGGGCTCCAACCTAGGGGAGCTCACCCCTACATCCGCCCATAGATATGGTGGTTACGGAGAGATTACCTGCTACTACATGTAAGTAGGGTTTAATTGATGTTTTTATGAGTTTGAGTGTAAGTTGGGTTTAATTGATGTTTTTATGAGTTTGAGTGTTTAATCGTATGATCAATGTTAGGGGTACAATTGTCAAATTGCAATAAGTTAAGGGGATATGATGTTTTTAATTGGACAAAAATTTCTAGTCTGACTTGTTTATGTCTAGTCTAATTTGAACTGGTCTTGTAAATACTTGGTCCATATTTTATAAGTGTCAAAATATGATCTAGTTTGTTTAAATCTAGTTGGATCGAATATATTTTAGAACTGAAATAAGTCTAAGTAGAAGTACCCCTATTTGGCCCTTTCATTAACAAATAATCTACATCTGAAATGGCAATTACTGTAACAAAACAGTAAATAGTACTCCATAGCATACAATGTAGGTACTAGGTAGTGGTAAAAGAGCACAAGAACCGTGGTTGGTGATAATTGCAATCAACTACTCCATTCGTCTCCTTTTAAATGTCTCGTTTTACCATATTGTGATATCCTTATTTAAATGTCTCATGCCTTATTTGGTAAAGTTTGTGTGACTCAAAATCAATCTTACTTTATTCTTACTTTATCCATTAATATCAATCACACAAACTAACTTTTTTTAAAACCCGTGCCACCCTCTTCCGGGATATTTACATCGATGGCACCAAACAGTACCAAGCAAGGAGGCACTGAAAGTAGCAAGTAGCAACTAGCATCCATGTACTATTAGCCATTAGGTCCTGGTTTGTTTAGCAAATGTTGAAGATAAAATTATCATTATATTTTATTATTAAGTCATGTACTATATAAATCATCCATTCTACTGATTTTGCTCAAGTGTAACATAAGTGGTCTTTTTGAGTTGTTATATAGCAAATTCTGATTTATTAAATGCGTTTCCAGCATAAAAATTAGGCATATTCAGTAATTTCTGCCTAACATCCTCTATGAAGTATGAAGCAGGCCCTATTGATATTTGAATTAAAAAGATGTTGAAATAATGAATTAGTCGAGTGTGCACGGAATCAAAGTTCCCAGATTGAAAAATACATCAATATTTTTTATATTGGGGGGAGGGGTTAATGAATTCATTAAGCGCTTGATTTCACCCTCATATCCGCTTGATTTCACCCTCATATCCTGTATTTTCCCTACACCAAGTCCTATCCACCAAGTCATTACTCAAAAGACAAAAAATGAACAAAGATATGCATATACTCTGGCGCTATAAAGAATGAATTCTATATAGAAGAAATTCTTACATCCCCCAAAGAGGTAAGAGAAACGCAATGAAAATCTGAAACTACACAGTTGAAATAAAAGGGGATGTACCAAGGAAGCATAAAATGTATGTTTGTTTGTTTGTAATTGAGGCGGGCAACTTCTGAAGACTTTCCCCTTGTGTCATGGAGGTCCAGGGTTCTAACCCACCTCGCAAGAACATGAGAAATGAGGCCTAAATACCACCACCACCTTCCAATTGCGTAGGAGATCAGGCACTGTGTACACCCCCTCTTTTTTGGGTAATTAGGGAACACATAACAAATCTATGAGAAACTAAGAAAACAATGTGACAACATCTCTACGGTATCCCCGCACAATCAACAACCTAGGTACATTCTCCACCAAGAGGTCCATATATTCCATGTAAAAGTAAGAAGGATGGTTGAGAGGTGGGGGCGGTAAACTCACAAGCACAACCGCAGCCATTCTGGAGTATTTCAGTATCATTGAGTTGAGCTTCAATGTCGTGTGTAAGAACTTCTCCACCTGGTGTTCGTTCACAACCACACTCTTCCCATCAGCCATCAAATGACTCCCCCCTGGACCCTGTCCCTGGGCCTTTTCCTTCATCTCCGCCAAGTAGTTAGCAATTCTTTCCTGTGCACTACTAAATGCCTCCACCGATTCTTGCTGCTGCTCCTCCCATGACTTCATCGAGATGATGATGACCTCAGCCTGCATGCGTAGATCGTAAAGGAATTTCTTCACGTCGGCCTTGAGTTCCTCGGCATCAGAGTCCTCCTCGGCTATGCAGAAAACCTGAATCTTACAACCCTCAAAGCTCTCTTTGGTTAGGAGTAGCTGAGAAAGAAGGAGCATAAGCCCACCGTCTCTCACGATCCAATACAAATCAATCGTCCCAAACTGTCTTTGATACTCGTTAGGCCACTCATCCAGTCCCTTGACGATAACAACAGCTTTGTTTGCTACAATGCAGTCGTTTATTATCCCAGTAAAGGTGGCGGGAATTTCGGTTAAGTTTTCACGTCGCCAAATTTCGGGGTATCGCATGACAATTATATTGGGCTTGAGATTTCCAAGGCCCATCGTCTGGACTATGCCTCTGAAGCCTTCAGTCATGTTAGGGGCAACAACGATTTCAGCTACACCCTCACAATTCTTGTAGTCAATGTAAGCACTTAGCTGCTTACAAGCTGCCTTGGCATCCTCTGCGCATTCATGGTAATCTCCATCCATTATGGAAAAAAAGATGGTCATTCCTCTTCCTTTTTTCTTCATGCAGTTGGCAAAGTCGGCAAGTTTAGGATGGCAAGGTACATTCTCTGGCAGCTTGCCCCATGGCCGACAAAATACTAATGGAATAGGGTACCAGTTTTTTGGGTGTACTTGAGTTGCTGCATAAATAAAAGTATAATCTCATATGTTAGTTTACTATCCTTTGACATGCAAAAAACAACCCATATTACACTACAACATATGTAGGATGCATCTAAGACGTTTAACGTAATACAGGGATGGTATTAAGCCTTCCTGACTGCAATCATCAGAAGACATGATGCAATATTAACTGATATACACAAAGAGATATATATAAACTTCCAATTTTCATCTGCACAGTGAAGGTTGCTTCATTTACTCCATGTGTATATGGCAGTGTTTTGTCAATGACATCCAGTAAGAGAAACATGCATGGGAGAGAA